AAAAAAAAAAATCTTTGTTGACCTTCCGGCCCAAGGCAAGGAAGAATGCAGACACTGCCATAAACCTGAGGCTCTGCCTACTCCAACAATGTTAATGTCAGACTCCTGTACCTTCCAGCCTTTTGGCCATTCTTGAGAACTGATTATGGAAACATCAGCTCCAGTGTCTAAAAGACCTTTGAATTTTTTGCCTTGGATTTCAATTTGACAAACAGGACAAATTCCTGAGATTTTTTTTTGTGCCAGAAAAATACCTGCCTGTCCTGTACTTCCAAAACTTCCAGTTCCCCTTTTCTGCATCCCTTTTTTTCTGGGAGGGTATACGGGAGCAGGAGTAATTGCGCTATCCATTCTCCTTTTTTAGCTGACCAGGGAACTGAGGAAGACATTATAATTTGAATCTCTCCTTCATAATCAGAATCAATTATACCTGTATGGACAGTGACTCCCTTGGAAGTTAAGCTAGAGCTACCAAGGAGAAGTCCAACAGTATTTGGGGGAATTGGCCCCAAAACTCCTATAGCTACGCGGAGAGGGGACTCTCCAGGAAGTAATAAAATACTTGTGCTGTACAAATGTCTACTGCGGCACTTCCCTCGGTAGCGGGACTTAATTGTTGTACTGAAAGTCTGGGGGAGGCACAGCTTGGTAGTTCTGAGGAACAGCCGGTGTCTCATATGCCCCAGTTGTTGTCAGGGCCTGGGTTGGCCCCTTTTCCTGTTTCCCTGAAGAGGAGTTCTACCCTTGTGAAAAACCGATCTACATTCAGATGCCCAGTAATTTCCTTTTTGGCACCTCAGACATAACCAAGGTTATTTAGGTCCCATAGGAGCAGAAGTATTAGGTAGGTGGGAGCTGTTTCTGTTTTTCTTTTGGCACTCCTTTCAAGTGTGACCAGATTTTCCACAATTGTAGCAAGTGCCTGGAAATTTGTTTTTTCCTACTGTTAACCCAGTAATAGCCTGAGCAAGCATGGTAGCTTTAAACTGTTCTGTTCCTACTCCTTGACATAAACGAAGATATCCCATGCATCTGTTTTTCCTTTTTGAGCTCCTATTGCCTTTTTACAATCCTCGTTAGCATTATCATGAACCATAATTTGTAAAATTATATCAGCCGCTTGTGAATTGGTGACCTGTTTATTTATAGCATCCTGCCAGCGGGCAATAAATTCAGAGTAAAGTTCCTGAAGACCTTGTAAAATTTTCTGAAAAGAGGATGGGGCTTTACCTTCCATTTCTTTTTTTTTTTCTATGCCATCAAGCAAATTCGTTTGAGCTGAGCTAGAGCCTGATCTTCCATTCCTAATTGATCTTGAGTATCTGTCCAATCACCATTTCCTAGTAACTGATCTTTGGTTATATCAATATTATGAGTCTGATTTTGTCTGTCCTGAATTTCTGCACCATCAATCCACCATGTTTTAAATTGTAAAAAATTGGGAGGACGAGAGGCACATTTTAGCCATAGCATTCCAATCTACTGGTATTAACTGATTTCTGTCAGCAATGCCTCCAATAAGGCCAATGGTATAAAGTGATGTTGGACCAAATTGAATTACTGCTTGTTTAAAACCTTTAAGTAATTTGAAAGAAAAGGGCTCATATCTAGCTTCATGGATTTCG